CCATCAGTTGCACAAATAAGCTTCTATTGCACTATACTGATCAACTTTTAATTGACCTCGTTTGACAGCCGCATTTTGAGAAGGAATTATGAAACCCCTCTTTCCTCTCCCAGAAGGTCTTACCACGTACTTACAGACAAAGCAGGAAGCCTTTTGATTCGAGAGTGATCAACGGATGCGTACGTATTTTAAGTAAGAGGGTTAAAGAAGCATCTCTTGGTAAAATTACTGTCGTCACCTCTTTTCAAATAGTGTTTTCATATAGATTTCCTTTTTAAATGCAACCTGACATTAGTCGCTTTTAATTGAACGCCCATGGGGTGTACTGGAATGGACAAAGTTTCCACTTGGAAACCATTGCTACATGTGCATTGTACAGAAAATCACCATGCCAACCTCAATTGTTTTGCAATACTCCCTCACTCTCCTTCCATCATGACGTTAGTTTACGGCAGGATGAGTTCAAATAACCATCATCGTGAGGAGAAGAACGAAACTGAAAGTAAGTAAAGACGGAAGAAATTGGTTTGTTGAACCTACTAACTTTGTTGTAGAAGAGAAGCGTTCTGATGTGCCCTCCGTAGCTGATCTCACTTTAAGGCTTGTGAGGGAGATTGCAGGCACACAACAAAACAACGAATCATTGGACAAATCTGACAATACCCATAAGGTCCCTTCAGAATTGCCAATCTTCTATGTGCCCTCACCGAGTGATAAGTTCAAATGTTGTGCATGTGGGGAGGTACTGAGGCGACCAGTGAAATTTGAGATCTGTGGACATTCATGCTGCTCGACCTGCTACTCAGAAATCATGTCGTACGTGTGACTCTCCATTGTAATGCACAACTCGTAGATCAAAGGGGCGCTGTCCAGTGGATGGCAGTGTCCTAGGACGCAGTGATGTCACTGTGGATAAGCAGATGCAACGAGAATTGGACCATCTTGGAGTGAAATGCAACTATTTCGATCAAGGATGCTCTTGGACAGGACTGGCGATTGAGTTATCCGATCATCTGGAGGAATGCCAGTGTCGGCTGGTCCAATGCATCTACAACTGCGGAGTGGAGTTTGAGGTGGGTCGCGATGTACGTATTGTCTCTATCACACGGCACAAATGCCTCTTCACTTGCCCACAGTGATGCGCATCAACCTCCCCACAAATCAAGAATTCTCTCACTGTAAAGTAGCGGAGTGAGAGTGGAAAGGCTCCGATAGCTGGTGTAGTAGTCTAATTTTTGCTCTTTTAACGAGGTCCAGTTGTAGTGGTTCAAAGTGCCGTTTTTTGTTTACGTTGAAATCCTCTCTTTGTTGTTGAGCTGCAGTCAACTCACTCCTACTGGAGATGATAAAATTAAGGAGACACATAACGTAGGCGAAGCTATTTCCTAAGTAATTTCCAAAGAGGAAAGATAACGTTGATACTCAATACCGCCTCTAAATGTGTCGCTCCACTGCTTCATCTCGTGGAGCACTGTTTGACAC